GCCTTGCCGCTATTGGCTGTGTGCGCTGCTGTGGAGGTTGCCGCCCTGTGGTGTAGTGGGTGGCGTCGCAATTGGGGTTTGCGGCCGAGCGGCGCAACACGGTCCCTCGAAGTTCCTCGTCCAATCTCGCGTGGTGCGCAGACCTGAACATACCCTAAAGTGACACCAGCCAAGGCAGGTGTTGCACTTGACTGATGTCACGTTACGGAATATCCTGGTCTGACATGCCGTGCAGATTGTAGGAGGAACCAGGAGTTATTGGCGGCGGCGTGTGGGTGTTGGTGCGGTTGTGTTTGTTGTGTGGTTTGTCGTGGTTGTGGTGTGGTCTGTCGTGGTTGTGGTGTGGTCTGTCGTGGTCGTGGTGTGGTCTATTGTGTTGTTATGTTGTGGTGGTGTGGTCTATTGTGTTGTTATGTTGTGGTGGTGTGGTCTATTGTGTTGTTATGTTGTGGTGCTGNCTGTCGTGGTTGTGGTGTGGTCTGTCGTGGTCGTGGTGTGGTCTGTCGTGGTCGTGGTGTGGTCTATTGTGTTGTTATGTTGTGGTGCTGTGGTGTTTGTGTTGAGCTGCTCAGGTGGACTGGGGTTTGCCGTGAAGGCTTCTCTGTTTGAGCAGCAGGGGGCCACAAATGATGTGGTCCACTGCCGATGGGTCCGTAGTCCTGAGCAGACTATGAGGTAACTCCTGGGATAAATCATTAATCCTTTTATCTAGAAATACATACTTATTTTGCTTCTCAAGCCCACTGTTGTCCTTTGAAGATTCATTTTTGATGAACGAGTACATAATTATGTATGTACATGCGTCAATATAATACACCTAATAAGAATAAATCAAACACAACAATTTGTTCTTACTTAATTCTTATGCTTATTTAAATTGATTTTTTATTTGTTTGTATGGTTTTTATTTTGTTCTTTCTAGTGTTCTCATTATATTTAAAATCAGCTCTATGTATGTATATACTACAATCCTTGATTTACTATTTTAATTTACTTTAATCTGGTTTTATTTTATTGTTGCATACAATTAAAGTGACTGTTNATTTGTATGGTTTTTATTTTGTTCTTTCTAGTGTTCTCATTATATTTAAAATCAGCTCTATGTATGTATATACTACATTGATTTTCTATTTTAATTTACTTTAATCTGGTTTTATTTTATTGTTGCATACAATTAAAGTGACTGTTATTTATGCCGTTTTTAGGTAAGCATTATGGTGTTTTCTTGTTAAATATGGGTTTTAGTTTTTCATATCCTCTGCTATGGTACATATGCAATCTGGAAATGAATTGGGATGATTAAGTGATTACATAAGGATATATGATTACCAGAGAAGGGCATTTGCAACGAGTTGTTTACGTAGAAACAATACGTGATNCCTGCTATGGTACATATGCAATCTGGAAATGAATTGGGATGATTAAGTGATTACATAAGGATATATGATTGCCAGAGAAGGGCATTTGCAACGAGTTGTTTACGTAGAAACAATACGTGATTCTATTCAAGTAGATAGCAGCGTAAAACTGCGATATTTTTGGATGCGCGTGATGAATAGTACATCTTCAAAAATCTTAAATAGAGCTGCAATGTTTTCATAATTGCAAAATCTATAATATAATAATGTATTCAGTTTTCGTTGGCTTCAATTTTCCTACTAAAGCAGGAATTAGCCAGCCAAAGGCCATTGACCTACCACTAATTTAGCAAATGTCTGATCTCTCTATTCAAGTTTTTTGGTTGTTGAGGGCGACTCGATGGGAAATATATTCCCTTTAAACAGATAAGAGAATTAGAAGAAATGGCAGTTTATACATATCCAAATTTTGAGTTTTGTCATTCACAAATTTGTCGACTTTAGCTATTTTCCAATTAACAATGCATTTAGTAGTTCACGTTTTTATTAAAATTTTAATTGTTTATAAAAAAAGATAAAATTGTTAATGCAGATTCATTTTTTAAGCTCAACTTTTATATTTCAGCTGTAGATCTTTTGGCATCCCTGGATCTTCAGAGAAATAGTTTATTTTTTTCATATTCAGCTTAGAAAGAATAGTGACGTTACGAATAATAGGGATAGGTAGCGTTACGTATAAATTGAGTTCCTTGAAATCCGGCACGATCGGGCATTTCTTGAACAGGTATGTATGTAAGTGGGATCATTTTTTGCAAAACAATGATGCTAGAGGTATGTTAGTGAGAGACGATTATATCGTCGTTTAAAGTACAAAACCACGTATCGTCATTCTGCAAAACCGCGTAACTGACATTGGCTGCCAAAAACTGGATTTACTCACACAATCTCTTGGCTCAATCCTTATCCATTCGATCTGAAATATACTAGCCAGAAATGCAATTTCTTTATAAAAAAATAGAACCATTTTGAAGTATGAGCATTTTTACTCTCTAGAAAATAATTTATGCAACCTCACATACGCGGTTTTGCATTATCTTGATACGCGGTTTTGTACTTTAAACGACGATATGTACCGATGATTTGCGTTCTAACATAAAACGTGCAAACAAACAACTAAAAAAAATAGCCTAAGTAAAAGTCGAAAAAAATGATACTACTCTTTCCTAGACAGCCCTAAAAGTTTGATATTCTCTCCATCGCAATATCGTTTATACATTTTTCTGTGTTATTCACTTGGCAAAATGTCACCTTTAGTACCGCCTACGGTCTGATAAATCCGATTCTATTTTTCCTTTAGAGAAAATAATCTGCTTGTGGTTTTTTAGACGGTATACCCCTGCTCTCTTGTGGTGCGGCCTCAAATATAACAAAATCACGATGCAGGTACTCGTTCAGTTCTAAAATAGCTGCCACATTTCCGCATCTAAGTTAATTAAACAAGCAAAGGATTAATTATTAAATGTAGCATTTTGCAAGGATGCGATTTCAAAACAATTATATTCTCTTACCTATAACAATAATTCGGCGCAGACCAGACAGTCAGCACAGTCTCATTAAAATGCCATTTGAATCCTTCCATGACCAATTGATGGGCGCGGCAGATCATGTCAATGTCGTTAGTTCGATTAAATTGTGAAACCACATCTGATCCAAATAAGTACCCAGCTCCTCGTGGGGATACACCCCAACCCGTCTGATCTTCAGGGTCACTCCATAATAAATCGCACATAGGTCCGTCGTGAGGTACCTCTTGCTTGCGATCAATCGTCCTTATTTGGTCCAAATACTGTATAGATGGCGATAGGCCTCCATGCACGCAGAATATCTTTCCGTCAATGATAGCCGAGAGGCTGAGATAGTCAAAGATTTCGGTGCAATAGCGCCAAACGGCAGTAGATCCATATTTGCGCAAACATTCGTCATAGAATCCATATACTTGGGTAATTTGGCGAGATTCGTGATTGCCGCGTATCAAGGTGATGCGATCTGGGTAGCGGACTTTGAGTGCCAGNTAAACATTCGTCATAGAATCCATATACTTGGGTAATTTGGCGAGATTCGTGGTTGCCGCGTATCAAGGTGATGCGATCTGGGTAGCGGACTTTGAGTGCCAGCAACAGCAGAAATGTTTCCACACTGTAGTAGCCACGATCCACGAAATCGCCCATGAATAGATAGTTCTTTTCGGGCACATCGCCACCAACTTTAAACAATTCTTTTAAGTCATAGAACTGACCGTGGATATCCCCACAAACTGTAACGGGTGAGTCGACGCGCTGCACATTCCCTTCCTCCACGAGAATTTCACGCGCTTTCGCACAGAGCGCCTTTACTTCATTTTCTCTAATGATTTCACAGCGTTTCAACTGCTCGATCTGGCGATCCAAGTCGCTGTAGTCGGTCATGCTATGGGTTCCGGAGCCGGAATTGATGTTATCTGACGCTGATGCAGCTTCTGCGCTGTCAGAGCTGAAGCTATAACCGCAGTTGCTGCTGCTACTTCTGCTCACGGGGGAGGAGTGTTCGAAGTTGCGTGCAGTTTTGATGGTGATTTTGCTGGCGGTTCTATATAGTACATACAAAGAGTAGGAAACGGATAGGAATGGGGCAGACGCTCAATGTTGTGCAGCAGTCATGCGGTCGTTGGAGGAAGGGCAGCACAGATGCTGGTCCTAATTTGGCAACTTCTACAAAGAAACATCTTTTAGAGGTAGTTAAGTTATCAAGGCAAAGTGAAAGTAAAAATGAATTACACAACAAAAGAAACTGGAGAAATGCATTGGCTACCTGGCGTGCGTCTTTCACCCCCTCTATAGATATGTCAGTATTTTTTCTGGATCATATCATTTTCATTGCGCAGACGGCTATTAGCAAGTACATATATATGTACATTCTACTTGATTCAGTTGCGTGAGGTATAACGTTAGCGAAAGATGGTATTAGCAAAATTACATCTAAATTTTACAACTACTAGGCACATCGTACTTAACGCCGACCTCGAAAGCAACATAAGTCCGTGAGCCCATTTTGTGTGTTTTTCTCAAGTTGCACTTACCACTTACCTCTTTTATTATATTTTGCGGCTATTGTTTCACGTTTTTCACCAAATTTGCTTTACAGAATGTAAAGTTTCTCATCTGCCTGCTCCCTCTACTGAAAATGCAACCACCGCAGTTCAATTTTCCAAAAGTTTTAAGCAATTTTCTGTTTTTTAATACTCCTAGATGTTTTTTAATTGCAAATGTACCAAAATTACTTAAAGTTGCTGTCCACAAAGAAGAAAAATCACCGCGCTTGTTGGCTTCATTCGCTAACAAAGGTGTAGCCAGATTACAAGGAATGCTTGGTGCATATACAGCGTTGATTTTGAGCTAATGCTAAGTTTTGTGGTAATAAATTAGTTCGCTGAAACTAGTAAAATATAGAAATTTGATGCACTTTATTATTTTACTATCAAAATCACCGATTATGGTCTCGTTACAGGAAATTGAAATTATTTTTAAAAGCAAACAAAGGGTATGGCAGCCCAGATTTTCGTTATGCTTTGTTCGCTTTCATCTTTTTCGATGTCGAAATTTTTTTTCGAACTCCTTTAAATTCAATGCTACCACCTTATTCAAGGCGAATTAATACAAGGTGGTAGCAGTAACAGTACAATTCCACAGAGAGCTTTTCAGGCTTTCAGCAATAGCTGAATTTAACATGATCCAATTACACCAGACCAGAAAAGAAAGAGTAGTTTTCTGGCTGACGTTTGTAATCTCGGCGCCATGTTATTTTCGTTTGAAACGATCCAAATGTAAACCAAAAATATGAAGACGAAACATAGAGAAAAAAATTAAAGCAATTTTTGAGCGCATGTTTGTGCTAACTAATTTATTATTTTTGTACATGTTTTTGCAACCGATTACCGCGTCCTTCGTTCTAATTACATTTCAACAGAAAATAAACATAAATAAGGAGATGTAAGAACAAAACAGACGCTTTTGCAAATGGCTGCTTGTCAAGCGGTCAGATCTGTTCTAATTGGTTCATGTGAATTTAGCTGAAAGCCTGAAAAGCTCCAAACGCCTGAAAAGCTTGTTATGGCGTTGTACTCTAATACTTGTACAACAATAACGAAAAGTATCAGTAACCAAAAATACAAGATCACGTAAGTCCCCTTTCAGACACGTCAAGTCTTGCTTTCAAGTCTGCTCGTTCGTACGTGAAGGAGGTGGGAAGAGAGGGAAAGAGTACAGATACCTCCGTACCGTCAATTCGTTTCAAGTTTTCTTGTTCTCTTTTGATCTTTTCGTTGCTTCCCGTTTAACGTGAGTTATTAGGGACGTTCCGATACCATCAAAGTATCGATACTTACTTAAATGAGTTCACGTTCACTCAAATCGCTATTTCGATACTACTTATATGAGTAATGCGAATGTATCGATACCTACTTATATCGATAATTTTTCACCATTTTATATGTACCAAAGTGAAAGTAATTTTCAGGCGTTATCTGTGACATACCTTTTACGACACTTGAGTGGAAGATCGTCCTATCTCGGCAGCCAGTTCTAAAACGCCCTATCTCAGGAAACTTTTCAAAAGCGCCCTATTTCATAAATTTATTGAAAAACGCCCTATCTCGGAAAACTTTTTAAGAACACCCTATTTTAGAATTCGCTTCAAAAACGCCTTATCTCAAATATTTTCAATATATTTTCAGTTAAGGTAGGGCGTTTTTAAATTCAGAAATAGAGCGCTCTTGAAGAGTTAATTTAACATGACAACACATTTTAAAACATCTTAATGCATTATTTTACCTAAATTGTGAGTTTAAAGTGGCTGGAAAAGTAGGCGAAGGAAGTGGCATACGTAACCGGCCGTCTTCACGTGCTGGAAAATCTCGCTCGCGTGAAGACCCATGCGAGATCCCGCGCGTGTAGACCGCATAATATACGAAGCATACTTTTTCTCGCATGCCGAACGGTTTGCGAGCTCTCGCATGCGTTCAACTATTATTTTTGTTGTTTGGCGGGTATTTTCTCATTTCGCAGAATTCTTCAGAGTAGAAACATTGTTTATTTTAGCGGAAAATACAAATTTAGCCTGAAAAGCTCGCTCGTTCTTTTTTGGCGACATTTTACAGATGAAAAGGTATGCGGTCAAATGCCCAGTCAACAAAGGCACCCTGAAATTGTGCACATACAATTTTTTCCTCAGGTTTCGGACAACATAAATATTAACACGAATCTTCTTCACGCAAACATAAAAATCCACTTAATCCTGAGACACCTTTAAATTAATGAAAATTAAAAAAGCACAACATGAAACTAAAGGGTAGTTTATATTTAAGGACCACCAGTTTATAGCATTGATTATATGTATATGAAAACAAATTCGGCATTATTTTTAAATGTAATTTATGAGTCCAAAATATCAAAAAGTTTTTTTTTTTGCGCGGAATCCACCTGTCTAAAAAATGGGAAAATCTAGTTTTCTTCGAGAATGTTTGGCCTTCTTTCGCAATAATTTAAAAAAGTTCCTTATACTCTTCATTATCCATGTGTTTTCGTTGGAAAACTATTTGTAACGTAACAGTCTTTTTTACTAATTGAATTTTCAAGTAGGTTTTTTTTTTTTTTTTTTAGAGAGAGGGCTCATTTTGCAAGCAACAATGTAATAATGCAGCGTTTTTGCTGCATTTAAAATGCAACATTTAGCACTTTCGAACATATGTTTTCGAAGAGCGTTCATGCTATCGCATTTAGCAAATGTAGATTTACGCGAGTTCGAAATCGTATGCTTTTGACAAACAGCCGTGTTCCAGTCGCTTATTCAGATCCGTATCCATTACGATAAATTCTCACGGAAAAGATAATGTGCAAAAACCCCTACTGAAAAGGAAAAATAAATTCTAAACCGAAAATTCAATACAAAAACCTGAATTGTTTTAACCATAACCGAACATTTGTTTGTGTATATATTCATTTGTCGGTGCTGCCAATTATATTTTCCACACTTAATTAGGAAACAAAACAAACAGAGTTGATCACAAATTAATCCAGGTTTCTATCAGCATCATATCGATGTTGAATTTGCGTAACTTTTCTTTATCCAAATAATGTAAAATAATAAATGAAATCTCGATCGGCGATCACTGAAACGCAGCTAGCGGTTGTATACTCGAAAAAGCAATGTTGCCACTTTTTCTCATTAAACCATGTTCGAATGGTGGAAATTTTGGAAGATCACAGGGTTGCTTTTAGCATTTAGATTCTAAATGCAAAGATTGAGTTGCATTTAGTTGACGAATTTTGTATAGATAAATGTAACTACATTTAGAGTAGCATTTAGAGCTAAATGCGCTAAATGTACATTTACGCGCAAGCAAAAACAGCCCATAAAAGCTATTCAACTTGTTATTGTCCCATAATTAAAATGTATGTTCTTTCTAACTTATATAGGCTCAGGAAATAAGAATTACGTAGAAAAATAAAAAACAGGATAACTATATTATTTCAAAAAGGAACGAGCCCAAATGAAACNACCCAAAAAACTAAATAAGCTAAAGCTAAAAACTAAAAGCTAAAAGAAGAAGATTTTCCGAGTAAATAATAAAAATCTATTGCAATTATTTTGCCTATTTTGCTAGTACTATTTTTATTAATTAAAATGCCCTTTCGAATGGTGATATAAGATGTTTCGTTCAAGAGCAAGAATGATAGAATACAAGATTGCGCCGTCCTGGGCGTTGACATTTGTGTACCACAAGTAAACAAAGAATAGAGTGAAAAGAAGAACGAGTTGAAACAGCCAAAGCAGTTCACTTTACTGCGAAAAACATGTTTTAATTTAGCTAAATGCGAAAATATTGCATTTTTCACCTAATCTATTAGAGAACAGTGAACATTGTGGTGCACTTCATTGCTTTGCAATTGAGCCTGCTTCAGCAAACGTTTTAGTGCACTCCATTGCTTTGTAATTAAGGCTGCTGCAGAAAACTGCAGCAGCATCTCTGTGGGACTGATTAGTTAACTTGCTAATGGAGGCTGCGTGGAGCAGAAACCAAATCATTGTGAGGAAATGCTGTTAATATAATAATAGAGAAACATTTCGGGAACGGCTTTGCCGTGTCCTATGTACACAAAATGCAGCGATTCGTCCCAGCGCTACACTTGCATCTACGCTTCTTGCATCTTGACGGTTGTCGCAATTTAAAACACAGCACTTCATTGTATTAGTTTTTACGCAGTCTTCAACTCAAAAATCACTCACAAATTGCAAATTAACACGATTTAAACTGATTTTTCACTTATAATTCCACTTTCTCTTTTGCTGATTTGTAAACAAAGGTTTATTTACAAGTTACCACAACTGTCAAAATCAGCGAAACCAAAGTAGCGGTACCACTGACGGCGCCACCTTTGTTCGCTGCACCGTGCATCAATACAAGGTGGTGTTGATTGATCAGCTGATTGGATATTTTTGTCTCTACTCTAGTACAGGAGAATGTCATCCAAGACGAAGTGGCGCAAGTTTGGGATGTCCACAAATGTATGGATGCGCCTTGGTAAGTACTTGCAGCGAGAGCGTAAAAGAAAATTAGAGAGTAAAAGTTAAGAGAAAATTTTCAGAAAAAGTTATTGAACGCAAAACTAGTAAAAACTTGCAATTTAAGCCATTTTGACACTTTCTGGCGGTTAAGTTTTGGCGCGCAATTTTCTTTTTAATTGGGTCTTGTGTATCAAATGTAACTAGTAGCCCCCACTTTTGTTCCATATGGTAGCTTGTGTTTCGAAGGTTCGTCTTTTGAGTTTTCTACAGTAACCGAATATGATGT